CTACTACTACAGCTACAACTACAACTACATTACACTGTATACGATTATAGCTATACTACATACTATATACTAGATTAAATCTTGAATATTATGCTCGGTAGTGTATGTTATATCTGTTATTTCATATATAACGCTATTAGAGCTGAACCTCCAAATCCCACGCTCTACGCCTACCTCCTCAAAGCCTGGGCGAGGGCCGCCACTGTTCTGAAACCGAGAGTTGAGGCTTAGGGTTCCGGGTGTAAAGGTTAAGGGTTCAGGGTTTAGGGGTTTTAAAAGGGTGCCAGAATACTGTAAGGGCACTATATTCGGGTTCAGGGTGTAAGGTTTAGGGCTCCGAGGCTGCAGCTTGCGTTAGCTGGCAGCCAGCACTCTGTGGCAGCTGCCTGGCCAGAGCGCAAGGGTGCCATGGTTCTTAACTTAAAAAACTGCTGTTGTTTTGGGTCTTGCTCTTGCTGCCGATGATGACAGTGAGGTGCGTGAAGGGCTTGAGACTGAGGATTCAGATTGACTGCACCCGGATGCGCGGGAGGAGACTTGCAAAAGAAGACTGCTCGACCAAAAAGGACCGTGGATTCCTCTTGGCCTGCAAGAGCCGCTGGGCGTCCTGCAGCATGAGGTGTGGCGCCTGACTGGTGTGGGCAGTGCCGGCTTCGCTGTAAAGCATTGCAACAATTAGTATGAGGGATACTGTAAGGGCTAATTATACGGGATAGTAAGATCGTAATCGTAAAGCGAGAGAAGGTGTATGCTTCCGTCTAACCGAAGCTCGCCAAACTCAAGGACATAGGATAGCCAGGCCAAAGGTCTGAGATGAGGGAAACAGGTAACCCGTCATGAAACGACCCGCGCGATAGCAGGGGTGCTGTTGAGGGCAAAAAGGCGATTTTGCGGAGCAATATTTTTGCACCGGCTCAAGTCCTCCGCCCATCTTGTCTTCGTCGTTTCATCTTTGGAACTAGTTTTTTGGGTGGTTTTGCCGAGGCGAAAACAAGGTTTAGCACTTGATGGCACGAGTGTCCGCCAGCATGTCTTTACGGCTTTCCGGATAAACTGGCCTTTTGGATTTCGGTCGAGGCTTGCGTTTGTGGGGCTTCGGTGTTGCCATTCCCTTTTGTTTCTGGGGGCGGAGACTGTGCTTACCGTGTATTTTGTGTTTTTACCTCAACGAAAACACAAGTTTTGTTGTGAGAAAAACATCGGACGCATGCGAGTAACATGTTTTTATTGTTCCTTCAATGCGTCAGTGTTATATTTCTTGAACAAGCGATTTTTCTCGAGCGGTGAGCACATTTTGTTTTTTTGGTACACGCTTTTTGTTTGTGGAGGGGCATGTTGAGAGCGTAGCATGTGTCCACCTGCATACCTCCTCATCACAGCCATCTTGCTGTGAAAACTGAAGTACAGTGTTGAAATACAGTGCAGTACAGTGTAGACATGCAGACACCAGTCTCGAACCTCCTGATCCAGCAAACCCTAAAACCTTAAACTCTTCTAAGGAGGCGTAGCAGCGGTAGCACTGGCAGCAGCAGTAGCAGCATGAGGTGCAGCAGCAGCATAGCAAGGGTGGTTAGTGCAGCAGAACCAAAAGTACTACTACTGCTACTGCTACTCCTAGGACTGCTCGGTAATGGACGTCGTCCCGCCCCCTGTATCACCCCCAACCCAACCCTCCACAAACAGATAAAAACAAGTAGAGCCCGCGGGTTAATTGGTATGGCGTTAGCAAAAACTAGGGCCACTGCATTTCCACAGGCAGAATGTGATCATGAAGCAAATGCCAGGCGAACGTCTCTACATCTTCGGAACCGCGCTGCACAGCTCTTTAGGTCTAAGGAGTGAGGCCATGTGAGGCCACAAGGCCCCCGGCCCGGCCTGAGATCCCTTGGAGGACCACTTCTGAACCAAGGTTTTGGCCTCAAGTTTGTGTGACAAGGCGAAGAGCTGCTTCATTGATGTACAGTTTCGCAATGCAACATTCAATCTCTCCTGTGTGCAGACATTGCTTCTTCAGTCCACGGGCCTCCTCTTGAAGTGCCTGAGCTGGAGTCAAGCCTGTTGTGCAGACCGCACAAGCGCGCCATCCGGCGAGTTTGCCAGCAAACGGGCCTCCGCTGTCGTTCAGAACCGCGAGCAGGTCCACAGCCTCAGCAAATTTCAGGAAGCGTCAGTGAGTTTTCAGAGATGCCTTGCTTAAGGCTGCCCGATACTCAAGGGCTCAAGGGCCTCCCCACAAACCAAGCTTCCAGCTGTGATGATACCGTCACCAGAGGGACGGTCGAGCATCCTGCGACCATCGTTTTGGCTTCAGCTGCGCAGCTGGAGAGCTTCGACTCTTACATCTTCCGCTTAGAATGAAGCCTTGTCAGCTGAACACTTCGTGCCCCGAGTTCATTCAATGCTTCATGCACAGCACAATTTGGAACGTTTCGCTTGCCCTGGCGAATACGCTGCCCGAAAGACTCAGAACTGGTCCTGAAGACGGTTCGCAGGGGTTCAGGCCTTGCAGTGCTGCCAAGGGAAAAGGTACGAACAAACCATACTTGTTACTTGATGCACTGGTGTTTTCGAGCCTCTTCGTACAAAAGACGTGGCAGGTTGGCAGAATCGAAGCACTCTACCAGCATCTGTAGTATCTGTAACTGTACTTCAGATTCGCAGAGTTCTTTCTTTGTGCACGGCGCTGTTTTCAGGTAAGACGGATCTCACTCGCAGTGGGTGCACGGCTAGGCCGAAGGTAACAGTCGCAAGATTCGAATCACCGGCTCAAACAAATTTCTATCACTTAAGACAAGCTCTGTCCAAAGTCCTCTGAACTACGATTCCAAAATCCGACCAGGCAGCTCGGAGGCCAATGTGGGGCTGCTGGCTAAAGCCATGGCAGCCCACTCAACCCAGTCCACGTAGCCGTTTTCATCCTCATAGGCAGTGAGAGATAGCGCGATAACAGGGACACTGTTTTTACGGCCAGGTACCCCTTGTATCTGTCTACGCATCCACCCACCTACCCACCTATCTATTTGTACATACATGCATGCATACATTCATTCGCACATACTCACCAGGCGACTTAGTCTCGACCGAACACTTCAGAGTTGACTGTGGCCAAAGGCCACAGAAACTACGGCTTGTCAAGACATGATCCTTGAAGCGAGCTACTTTATACTGTTGTATGCTCCGGGCTATGAAGACAAAGGCTACTCAAGTAAGTGACGCCTATCAGGGCCCATCTACATTGCAAGAAACGGCAGCTGCTCAATGCTGTAGGGTGTGCACGACTCACCGCACAAACCATGTCTTCGTTCTTTCAGACTTTTTTAAGCTACGGTCAGGCCTTCCGCCTGCTCTCCCCAATATTAGTATCGCGACGGTTGCTGTCCTGGCTGCAGCCCCCAGCTGCGGTGCTGGTGCTGGTGCTTGCAGTTTGCGGCGGCTGAGTGTTGCTGCTGGCGATGAAGCTGTTCTTGAATTGGTGGTAGTGGTGGTGGTGGTGGTAGTAGTAGTATTATTATTAGTAGTATTAGTATTAGTAGTAGTGATTAGTAGTATAGAAGTAGAAGTAGCCGTAGCAGTAGCAGTACTAGTAGTAGTGGTAGTAGTAGTAGTAGTAATAGTAGTAGTAGTAGTAGTCGTAGTCGTAGTAGTAGTAGTGATAGTAGTAGTAGTAGTAGTAGTAGTAGTAGTAGTAGTAGTAGCAGTAGTAGTAGTAGTAGTAGTAGTTGTTGTAGTAGTTGTAGCAGTAGTAGTAGCAGTAGTAGTATATAGTAGTATTAGTA